ACTTTGCATTAGGAGCTGTCTGCTTGCTCAGAAGGATGCTCTGGGCAGAATGGGCACATTGAATTCTGGTGAATTGCCTGACTCTCTTTCCTGCTACGAAACAATGTCTGATTTAGTTTTGTACCCCAGTGCCTAGCACAGCGCCTTGAACAGGGAGACAGTAACTATTTGCTAAATTGAAATGAATTATTGAGACAGCATTATAAATTAAGCACCTGAATTTGGGATTACAAGAAAAAAAGAGAAAATAAATTGCCTTGGAACTAGTAATAAACTAAATCTAATTCATATTTTTGGCCCTTGCCAGTGTTGTACAGTGGTTAGTGTCTTGGGTTCAGGTCAAGGGCACGTACCTGGGTTGCAGGTTCGCTCCCTAACCCCAGTCGGGGCACATACAGGAGGGAACCAATTGATGTCTCTCTTTCTCTCTCTCTCTCTCTCTCTCTCTCTCTCTCTCTGCCTCCCTCCCCGTCCCTTCCACTCTCTCAATGGAAAAAATATCCTCGAGTGAGGATCAACAATAAAAATAGTTAAATATTTATATGAGTTGGGGAGATATTTTCAGGCAGAAGTCCTTTGCCTGTTGTTGGTATGTCCCCTCTCACATGTAACAACCCCCTTCGTACCTGTCCCAGGTAGGAAAACACATAGTGTCAGTAAACTTACAATTCCCTATCCGTGAGTTTTTTCACTATTACATCTTCATAAGTTTCAGGGAGTCCAAGGACAGGCAGACCTCAGAGATACCGTGGTTTAGGTTCCAGACCACCACAGTAAAGCAAGTCGTCGTCATCTTTTTGCTGGAGGAGGGTCTTTCCTTCAATTTGTAAAAACACAAAAAAACCACACACACACACAAAAAAAACACAGAAACATCTTTTAGCTGAAGCTTCACTTTATTGAAGCTAGACTGAGCTCCTTAAGACCAGAAGCACTGTGTCTGCCACATATTAAGTGCTCAGCATATGTTTTACTGAAATGTTGCATGGATGGATGGATGGGTGGGTGGATAAATATTTTACTTTCAACAATTGATTTGAACTATTGCCTTTCTTACCTCCCCCACAGTCAGATGGCGTAGCTCCATTTCTAAGCTAACCAGAAAGGGCAGGCTGCAGGAAAACTGGTCCTCATTCTTTCTTGTGGTTGCTTTCTTTACGCATCTTTCTCTTCAGTCTTTGAGGTTGGAAGATAAAGGAGAGACCATTTTGCTCACTACCTTTCACCTGTTCTTTCCAAGTTGGCATTTATGAAGAGTATTTCTAAAACTTAATGTCATTTATATGTTTTTAAAGAGGTAATCTGCTCATGAAATTCAAATGGTAGAAAGGAACACAAATGAACTCGTACCCAGTTCCCATCCGCAGTGTAACCACTGACACCATCTTCTTGGGTAGCCTTCCAGAGATAATCTTACTTATAAAAGCAAACCCATATTTCTTTAAGCTAATAAAAATATGCCCTTTACCAGCTTTTATCCCCCTTGGCTGCACATTGTAATTATTCGGGGGAGCTTTCCAGAAAATGCAAATCAGAATCTTTGGGGGAGGAACTCAGCCATCAGCAGTTTTTTAAATTCACCAGGTGTTTCTGGTGTACATCCAGAGTCAAGAACCACTACGCGCATAGTGTTTTGCAGCCTGGTTTTTTTTCTTACATGTCTTCAAGATCCTTCCATACCATTATATGAGAATGAATTAAAACAACAACAACAACAAAACAGCTGCATAGTATTCCACTAGCTAGATGGAATATGAAGGGCATCTATGAACATCAGGTTGGTTCCAATATTTTGTTATTACAAAAAGCACTGCAACAAATAACCTTTCACATCTGTCGTTTTGCATATATGCATATGTATAATACAGATTACATATATATATATACATATGTCGGATAAAGTCCTACAAGTGACATTGCTGAATCAAAGAACAAGAACATTTGTAATTTGCTAAATAGTTGTGATTTTGCTCAACAGCATGCTAAATACATGATAGGTATTACTGAACTGGCCTGTGGGGGTTCATTGTTAATCTGGGTTCACAAGGAGTTTTTAAAGTGGAGAAGTGTGATTGCATTTTGGAGATGTATATGCTAGGACATAATTACTGTCTTTGGGCTTAAATTTCAAAAAGAGATCGCAGGCACAGCTCCTCTGTCAGAGCCAGGGTTCCCGGGGTCTCTCCTGAGAGGGCTGGCTGGCCGCTCAGTTTCTTGCTCTTTCTTGTCATTAAAGAGTTTTGTTCTCAGAGAGGAAACAATATGTGCTCTTTGATGTGGTTCAGAAAAAAGAGACCAACACCACATTTTAAAGTGCTTTGTGGAGGAGCTTCCAGAAGCAGCTCTTCAGAAGAAAGCTCAGAGAGAGCAGGGCTCAGACGCGAGAAGTCGTGAGCGCATTTGGAGCATATCTGACTCTGGAGGAATTCTCTCCGTTAAGAAAGCACAAAAGCCAATATGGAAAATGCAGACACAATTGTTCTCACTCTGAGGGGAATAACTTTCCAACCCAAGTAAATCTTTACTATGAGGATATGCCAGAGGCTGCAGACAGTAAATCAAGCCCTGAATTAGAAACACACTCTGTACGAAGGCGTGCGTTCCTAGGAACAAAAAACAGATTCTCTTCTAGAAGTTTCTGCTCTGTAACATTTATCTCTTCGGCCTTCTTCTTTAATCTTCCTTTCTCCTCCTCTGGGTGACACAGACAGAAACAGAGACATAAAGGCAGAGACATGAAAACAGATTTTTCTTCAGTATGACTTTTTTGTTAGTTTGTTTTTTAACTTTATTTATTTATGGGGGGGGGTAGAGAAAGAGAGAGAGAGAACAACATCAATTTGTTGTTCTATTTATTTATGCATTCACTGGGTGATTCTTGTATGTGCCCTGACCAAGGACCGAACCTATAACCTTGGTGTATGAAGACAATGTTCTAACCAACTGAGCTACCTAGCCAGGGAAGGTTTTTATTTTTGTTTATTTGTATTATTCTTTTTCTTAAATCTTTACCTGAGGATATTTTCCCATTGATTTTAGAGAGAGTGGACGAGAGGGAAAGACAGAGAGAAACACATTGATTGGTTGCCTCCTGCACGGCGCCCTGACCAGGGCCCAGGCCTAACAGGAGCCTGCAACCGAGGTACATGCCCTTGTCCAGAATCAAACCCAGGACCCTTTGGTCTGTAGGCCGCTGCTCTATCCACTGAGCCAAACTGGCCAGGGCCAGGGCAGGTGTTTTTTTTGTTTTGTTTTGTTTTTTTCAGTGCAGGTTTTTAAAATAGCTATCAGGATGTGCTGAGAAAAATGGACCATAGTAAAATACATCATTTTCATGTTGAATGAGTTTTATGGTATTCTTATATTTCTTGAAGAAATTCAAGCATCAGTCTTTGAATAGTTTGTCAGTTCAGGTTCTTTGGTAAAAACGCAATAGAAATTAACTCATGAACTTCAGGCAAAAAAAGGAGGATGTTATTTGAATGATACTGGGCAGCTCACAGATTTGAAAACAGGAAGCAGGACAGAGCTGTGGACCAAGTGTGGCTCTTCCACAAAATACCACATGCGGGCGCGCACGTACAGTGCAATTGAAACTTTGTGGCCCATGCGCAGAAGTCA